AATGAGGAAGCATTGGTCTCATCAGATTCTGTCATGTAATCTCCAACAGCATTTCAGTCACCAACTCTGATCCTTCCTGTTTCCAACCTTTGTATTCCAATCACCAGTAAGTATCAATACACCTTCATTCCATTTTTATCAATTTCAGACTGAAGATGTTGATAGAATTCTTCAATTTCAGTATCACTGTTTCTAGTGGTTGGTTGGTAAATTTGAATAACTGGTCTTCCTTGTAGGCATATGGATACTATCCTATCACAGACAGCGTTCTATTTCAAGTTAAATGTTGAAATGTTCTTTTTGATGGTGAATGCTACACGATTCTCCTTAAATTTGTTATTCCTAGCATAGTAAACCATATGTTTGTCAGATTGAACATAACCAATACCAGGCCATTCCAGTTCACTAATGTCTAGGATTTTAGTCTTTAAATGCTCCATTTCATTCTGACAACTTCCAATATTCCTAGATACACACTTCATACATCCCATGTTCCAATTATTAATGGATATTTGCAGCTGTTTCTCCTCATTTCGAATTGTGCCTTGTCATTTAAAGCTTTACTCCATTCACATCATTATGTTCAGTTCTACTTTGAGGAGGCAGCTCTTTCCCAGTCATAGTTTGAGTGCCTTCCATTCCTGAGTTCTTATCTTCCAGCACTATATCTGACAATATTTTGGTGCTATTCATAATGATTTCATCTTCCAGTATTATATCTGATAAGGTTTTGCTGCTATTAATAGGTTTACAGTGGCTAAACAATCAGAAGTAGTCCATCTCTCTTTCTTCCTGTCTCATAATCTAGTGGCTCCACTGAAACCTGCCCTTCGTGGGTGACCCTGCTGGTATCTGAAATATCAGTGACATAGCTTCCAGCAACTGGTATTTCAGCAACATGTAATCCTCCATACTACAACAAACTGACAGACGAGTGGTGGTTTCTTCAGTTTTTCAGGCCAAAAACCTTAAGATTTATCTTTGATTCCTTTGTAGCTCTATCATACATTTGGTCCAATAGAAAATCCTGCTGGCTCTCTTTTCAAAATACAGCCAGAATTTGATCCCTTTAATACCTCCACTGCTACAACCTTGGTTCCAGCCACTTTCTTCTCCCCTATGGATTACTGCAGTAGTCCCAGGTTTAGCAAACTATGGCCTTTGAACCAAATCTGGTCAGTAGCCCCTTTTTGTAAACAAAGTTTCATTGGCACAAAGCCACCACCTTCACTAGTTTTCCTTGTCTATGTCCTGCTTTCATACCACAACAGCCCCAAGTAGCTGCAGCAGAGACCTTATGGCTTGCAAAGCCTAAAATATTTAGGCCCTTTACAGAAAAAGTTTGCTGACCCCTGCAATAGCCTATTAAGTTGCAAGCTGGATAATCATGGCCCTGCGGCAAACTCTCTCACTCAGAGTAAAAGCTAAAGGCTTCTAAGGCCCTGTGTGACCTGGCCCTCCATGATCTCTGACTTTATCTCTCACTATTTATTCCCTTGCTCACTCTGCTCTGGCTACACTGACTCCACTCCCAACATCTTGCTTTTCCCTCCCATCCTCCTGTCTCATGCTCTTTCCCAAACTAGATAGACACGTTCCTGACAGAAGACTTCATACTTTCTGTCTCCGTTGCCTCAAACCATCTTCATTTTGACATCTGCAAGGCTTGATCCTTCTTTACTCATTTTTAACTCAAATGACATCTAGTGAGCCTTGTTTAAAAATGTCCCCCTTCCTACTTTCTATCCTCTTCATTGTTTTTTTTTTTCCTCCATAACAACTATCACCATTTAACATGTCATATTTTACTCATTTATAGTGTCTTTTGTCCCACCCCACCTCCTCACTGAAATGCAGACTCTGAAAGCAGAAGTTTTTGTCTGTTTTGTCTTCCTGATGTAACCACAGTACCTAGACATGTACTGGCTGTTTAGTAACTAATTTTTGAATCAATCAACCCTTGAAAGTGGTGATGTTACAGCAAATGTAAAATGAAACCAGTGTAGAAATTACCAAACAATATCATTAATATCACACACAAGTAAAATTTTGATAAAGATAATTTTTAAATGGTTGCAGCAGTATGTCAACAGGGAGTTGCCAGAAATTCAAGCTGGATTGAGGAAAGGATGTGGAATGAGAGATAATATTGTTGATGTCAGATGGATCTGGCTAAAAGCAGAGAATATGAGAAAGATGTCTACTTGTGCTTTCATGATTACACAAAGGAATTCAACTGGGGATTTCAGAATCCTTAACCATGATCATTGGGAACCTATACAAGATAAAGAGGCAGTCATTTGAATAGAACAAAGGGATAGTAAGTGGTTTCATATCAGGAAAGTTGTGTGTCAGAGTTGCATCCTTTCTCCATATTTACTCAATCTGTATACTGAGTAAATGATCTGAGAAGCTGGACTATGTGCAGAAAAATGAGGCATCAGAATTAGAGGCAGCTCGTTAATAACTTGTGATATGTGAATAACACCACCTCACTTGCCGAATACGAAAAGGACTTGTAGTAGTTACTGATAAAGATAAAAAATTACAGTTTTCAGCATGGATTATAACTCATTGTAAAGAAAATGAGAAGTTTCACAACTGGACCAGTAAAGAGCATCATGATAAACAGAAAAAAGATTGAAGTTGTCAGGATTTCATTTTACTTGGATACACAGTCAACACTCAGGAACGTAGCAGTCAAGAAATCAAATGGCATATTCCACTAGGCAGATCTGCTACAAAAGACTTCTTTAAACAAATGTTTGCTTTAAGGACTAAGGTCACCTAACCCAAGCCATGGTATTTTCAATCATCTCATATACATATGAAAGCTGTGTAATTAATATGGAAGACTGAAGAAAACTTGATTTATCTGAATTGTGGTGTTGGCAATAAATATTGAAAGTATCGTGGACTGCCAAAAGAACCAGCAACTCTGCCTTGGAAGAAATATAGCCAGATTGCCCTTTAGAAGCAAGAATGAAGACACTTCCTCTCACACACTTTGGACATGTTGTCAGGAGAGCCAAGTAACTAGATAAGGACATTAAGCTTGATAAAGTAGAGAGTCATTGGACAAGAAGAAGATCCCCAATGAGATGGATGGACACAATGGATGCAACAATGCGCTCAAATATAGCAACATTTGTGGTTTGGCACAGGACTGGACAGTGTTATGTTCTGCTGTACATAGGGTTGCTATGAGTCAGATCTGATTCAAAGGTGCTTAACAACAACAGCCAGTGTCTCAGCAGCATTTATACAACTCTTTTTATACAAAACGGTCCCCTTAGGAAAGAATGGCTCAGTGGCAGGAAGAAATGTTCTGTGGACTATTATTGTTAAGTGCTATCTAGTGGGTTCTGACTCATAGCCACGCTGAATAGTGTTTCCAAGCAGCAGCTGGTGAGTTTGAGCCACCGACCTTGTAGCTCAACTCAATCTTGTGGTTCAGTGTTTATTCTACAGCACCACACCAGGACTCCTGTTGACAAGTAAAACCCAAAAACCCATTGCCAGTGAGTTGATTCTGATTCACAGCAACCCTACACTACAGAGTAGAACTGCCTCACAGTGTTTCCCAGGCTAAAAATTTTTACAAGAAGACTACCATATCTTTCTTCCATGAAGCAGCTGGTGGATTTGAACGGATCTTTCAGTTAGTAGCTGGATGCTTAACCACTGCACAACAATATCCTCCTGTGGATTTATAGTTGTTGTTATTACATGACATCAAATTCTGACTCATAGCGACCCTGTTCTAAGGAGCAGCTGGTGGGTTTGAAGCAAGTCCTGGTGTGGCATTGTAGGTTAATGCTCCAGACTGCAAAGCCATTTGAACTGCAAGGTTGTTGGTTCAAGCTCACCAGCTGCTCCTCGGAAACCCTATACAGGGTCATTATGGGTCAGAACCGACTCGATGACACTAAACAGCAACAATAACCTTGTGGTTAGCAGTCTACAGTGCCACACCCGGAATCCTTTGGGTTTATTTTCCACTTTCCCTTTTCCATCTTCTTTCTCACCATGCATCCAGTGTCTTCACTCTATTCCTGAGTCTATGAGTATAGTTTCCATAGTATTTTATATATTCATCTCTTTCTTCTACCAATCATTATTAAAACATATCTCTCTGGCTTCTATAACCAAAAGACTCAGGCCTGTTCTCTTCCAAGCTGACAAATTCATTAAAGCCCAAATATTAATGAATAATAATGTCACTTCTAGAAAATAATTTGCATTTAAACAACTTTCAGTGCCAGAATCCAAAGAGGTGAGTGATATGGGAATTTTCAGCATACTCAGCTGGCCTAGATCAGCTGGGTAGTCATGAGAGGTCCCTGCAGAGAAATTAGATTATAGCCCATGGGCAGCTGTCCACTCCGCCTCTACAGGGTAAGTCCATCCATGCATATCCCCATTGGAGTATGCATGCACACAGACAGACAGGGTGTCAATGAGAGGCACTGAGAACATCTTAACTTGCATGGAAATGATCCTGTCACTTGTGATGTATGTACACACATACATATATTACTATCGATTCCTCTCCTTGGTGCTTTTCATCTAGCTCAGTCCCACTGACATGAAGCCACTTCTGGGAAAGTAGAAGGTGGCTGGATAGGCATAGGGCTCAGCTCTAAAGAAGGTGAGAAAGAGAAAGTGTGTTAATTGGAGAAGGGATTATTGAAGCATAAATCACAAGCATGTGCCACTGTCTTCCTGGCACCAAAACACATCAAGGATTCTGAGATGTGGAGAGGAGGAAAAGGTGGAGAAGTGCAAGCATGTTTATCCCAAAATAGTCCTCCCCAAAAAGATAAATTCCTGGTTCTCAAGGTTTTATGCTATGCAAAACAATTTAACTTTCTTAGGTAATCTAATGTTGTCAGACAAAATTAAGGGAATCATCTAAATAATTGAGAAAGAGGAATTTATCCATTAATAAGTTGGATTCATTAACCAGGAGTTCCTCGTACAACTTAAGAGCTACTCACCCCATGGACAAGAATGCTGCTGATCTTCCAAGGATAGAGCAGATTAGCATGAGCTCCAGGTGGTCTCCAGCCCATGTGGTTGTCAAAAATGAGCAAGTCATTTTCTTGCATATTATGATAAAGTATGACTTTTTTTCCCCCAACACCACATATTTGCCACCTGGTAGAAAGTAAATTGGTCCCTTACTCCTCCAGGGGATCCCCAGGCTTCATTTACTTAATTGTCTTGACAAAAAGGAACAATTGTGTAATCATATGGAAGATTTCTACAATTTTATCAAAATGGCATCCTGGAAATGAAAATGCACAAGCAATTAGCACAGATTTTAGATTCTAAGAATTTGTAAGCTAAAGTGAAACCGGTTTCTTGAACAGCTAAACACATCAAGGGATGTCAGGATGGTGCAAACAGTTAGCTCACTCAGCTGCTAACTGAAAGGTTGGAGGTTTGAGCTTACCCAGAGGAACAACAGAAGAAAGGCTTAAAGATTTACTTTTTAAAAATCAGCAACTGAAAACTCATAGAACACAGTTCTACTCTGATCCACATGGGGCCACCATGAGCTGGAATCACCTCCATAGTAACTGGTTTGGTTTTCTAAACACAATAATGACAGATGCTCTAGCCACTGTGAAGAATATGTTGATTGATGTCATAACAGAAGTAGAATATTTGCTCCTTTAACATGACATCTTTGAGAGGTTTCACCAGAAAGCTGACATGCTCTGTCTCCAGAGCACTGTCACAACCTAACATGCGCTCATGACATACAACAGATGCAAAAACGGACACACCTGGAGGCTCTAAGGGATTCTCCACTCTACTAGAGGTGGTTGTTTCCTTCCAAAGCAAAGGGGATGAAGAAGTTAATGATATTATTACCAAGAACCATTAATTAACTCTTAAGCCACTTGGCTTTTGAGGTCACACCCTAAGTCCAACCAACCCACCGCTATATAATCAATATCAACTCATGGGACATAGTAGAACTGCCCCATAGGTTTCCAAGACTAATCTTTACAGAAGTCTACGGTCGCATCTTTTTACAGTGGAACAGTTTGTAGGTTCAACCTTCTTACAGTTAGAAGAGCATTTAACCACTGTGCTACCAAGTCTCGTTAAATTTGGGCTTGTTGTTGTTAGGTGCCCTCAAGTCTGTTTCAACTCATAGCTACCTTATGTACAACAGAACAAACCGCTGCCTGGTTCTGTGCTAATCTCACCATCTGTTATGCTTGAGTGAGCCCATTCCTGTGTTAGGGGACTCCTCTTTTTCAACAACCCTCCATTTTACCTAGCATGATGTCCTACTCCAGAGATTGGTCTCTCCTGATAGTATGTCCAAAGTATGAGAGACAAAATCTGGTCATCTTAGTTTCTAAGGCGTATCCTGGTTGTACTTCTTCCAACACAGATTTGCATTTCTAACAAATCCCCATGTGATGCTGACTCTGCTTGTTCAGGCACTGCACTTTGAGAGTTGCTGCAAGAAGTCAGTGTTTGCATAACTTTGTTTTTCCTCCTCCTGCTGTGGGTCATGGTGCCTGTGGTTGGTGAGGGAAGGGTGGGAGTTGCATCTGTGCCATCAGCAGTTACAGTACATGCCAACCACCAAGTGCAGGCTGCCTTTCAAGAATGACAGATAAGTGAGATTAAAGTGACACGGAAGTTTTGTGAACTTGGAGAATTCAGAAAGACTCCATTAAAAATGTCAACAGGCACAGTTTCTCTATTGGATTTACATGGCAAAGAAGGGCAAATGCAAACAACCCAGGTTTTCACAGCGAACAAAGGTCTCAACAGTTGTGGCTGTTTCTGGTGATGAACTCTTCTGAAACTGAAATACAGTCAGATATTCTGCTGCTTATCTCAAAGAACACCCATACAGTCTAGTCTTCATTTTTTTTCCCCTAGAAAATGTGCCCGTCTAAGGTATAGAAAAGGAATCTTTAAAATCCATTTCTTTCTACACACTGGCCTAAAAGTAACAGTAGATCAGGAAAATGCTCCATCGAAAGTGGAACTGAGAGGGGCAGGGTGCCTTCAGAATTGGTGTTGGTTAATTCAAAGGTGTTTGTACATGGAGGGCAGGAAGTGGGAGCTCCTGTGGCTGCTTTGAATATCTCTGAAGAGTTGAACTAAGATCAGTAAACACTGTATATGGAATTTCTCAGGATAGGTGACATATTTATTTCTCATTCTTGTTACAGTCCCATTCTAGATCAGCTAGGGCTCTATTTTGCCTCACCCTCACTCAAGAACCCAGGCTGAAACAGCTCCTGTCTGGAACGTTGCTGGTTGTCATGGTAGAGTGAAAGAGAGTACCACAAATTCATGCTAGGTCTTATGTCTTCCACCGAGAAATAAGACCCCTGTCACTGGCTATAATGGGTTTGCTAATAGTGGCTTTCCAAAACACATGTCCACACAGAGCACCAGAATGCAATCTTATTTGGAAATACAGACTTTGTAGATGTTATGAGTTAAGGATGAGGTTATAACTGGATATAGAGTTAGCCCTGAATCCAATGTCTAGTACCCTCATGAATAGCTCTGTTGCGTAGTGGGTTAAATTTTGGTCTGCTAACTGCAAGATCAGCAGTTTGAATCTACTAACTGCTCCATGGAAGAAAGATGAAGCTTTCTGCTTCTGTAACGATCTACAGCCTTGCTAACCATATGCAGGTTGGAACTAACTCCACAGTACATAGCCACTACCAGTATCCTCATAAAAAGAGAAGACACAAAGACACACAGAGAAGAAGTCCATTTGAAAATGGAGGTAGAGATTGGAGTGATGCAGTAACAAGCTAAGGAATGCCAATGATTGCTGAGAGACACAAGAATCTAGAAAGAGCCTTCAGAAGCAGCATGGACCTAACACCTTAACTTCAGATTTCTAGCTTCCTGAATTGTAAAAGAACGAGGGTTCTCTCGTTTTAAATCCCTAATTTGTGATACTTTTCTACAGCAGCTCTTGGAAACTATTACAAAGGCTAAAGCAAGACTCATTGTCATACCCAAATTCAAGGGCTAGAGAAGGTCAGGCCTGCAGTGTTTGACATTCTTTTGGATTCACGTCCATACTCTGTTCTAAGCCTGAGCACTCAAACCCTAAGCACATTTATAGATCCTTTTATCCTTGGCTTCAGGTTGAGATTTCCCAATAGTAAGAGATAAGTTTGTGAGTTTGTCATACTTTGGTGGCTTGTGTGTTGCTGTGATGCTAGAAACTACGTCACCAGAATTTAAAATATCAGCAGGGTCACCCATCATGGACAGGGTTCAATGGAGCTTCCAGACTAAGACAGACTAGCAAGGATAGGTGAATTAGTCCTGAATGTTTAGCCATGGAAAATCTTATGGATAACTGCAAAGAACTGTCAGATACAGTGCCAGAAGACTAGATGCTCAGGTTCGAAGTCACTCAAAATACAACTGGGAAAGAGCTGCTTTCTCGCAGTAGAGTTGACCATAATGATGAGAATGGAGCAAAGCTTTTGGGACCTTCACGTGCTCATGGGGTACAACTCAAAATGAGAATTACCAGCTGGAAAACATCCATTAGTAATGAGAACATGAATCTAGGAAACTTTGAAGCTGTTGAAAATGAAATGGAACACATAAAGATTGATATCCTAAGCATGAATGAACTGAAATGGACTGCATTGGCCATTTTGAATCAATCATATAGTTTACTATTACAAGAACATCAAAATGAAGAATATGGCACATTCATTCTCATAAAAATATTTCAAAATCTATCTTGAAGTACAGTGTTGTCTGTGAAAGGGTGAATCCTGGTGTGGTGGTATAGGATAAGCACTGGGCTGCTAACCTCAAGATCTGCGATTCAAACCTACCAGCCACTCCTCAGAAATCCTACACAGGGTCGTAATGAGTCAGAATAGACTTGACAGAACTTAAAAAAAGCAACAAGGAAGATTAGTTTATACCACTATTATTCAAATTTATGTACCAATCATTAAAGCCAGTAGTAATAAAATTGAAGTTTTTGCCAACTACTTCAGTTTGGAATTGATCAAACATGCAATCAAGATGCATTGATAATTACTGGTGATTGAAAGGTGAAAGTTGGAAACAAAGAGAAGGATCTTTGTTTTGGGAAATATATAGTTGGGAAATACATAGTTGGGAAATATGGCCTTGGTGATAGAAACAATGTTGGAAATCGCATGGTAGAATTTTGTAAGACCAAAGACTTATTCATTGCAAACATACTCTTTAAAAAACATAAAAAGCGACTATCCTCATGGAATTGTTGGTAAGTGCCATTCAGTCAGTTCTAATTCATAGTGGCCCTGTATAAGGTTTCCTAGGAGTGAAGTTTCCTGGTGAGATTAGTCAGATAGAATACACAGGAATCAAATTGACTGTATCTGTGGGAAAAGATGGTTGAGAAGCTCAATATCTTCAGCCAAAACAAGGCCAGGGGTAGACTGTGGAACAAAGAACATCATATGCAAGTTCAGGCTAAAGCTGAAGAAAAATTGTCTATAAGAGCCAAAATATTACTTTGAATATTTCTCCCCTGAATTTAGAAACCACCTCAAAAACAAGATTGATGCATTAGACACTAATGAACAAAGACCAGAAGAGTTGTGAGATAACACCAATAACACCATATAGGAAGAAGCTTAAAGGCCATTTAAAAGGCAGGGAAGAAAGAAAAGGCAAAAATGAATGTTAGAAGAGACTCTGAAACTTGCTCTTGGGCATAGAGAAGCTAAAGCACATGGAAGTAATGACGACGTCAAAGAGCTAAACAGAAAATTTCAAAGGGCATCCCTGAGAAGACAAAGTCAAGGTTATAATGAAATGTGCAAAGAACTAGAGTTAGAAAACCAAAAGGTAAGAACATGCTCAGTATTTCTCAAGTAGAAAAAAGTGAAGAAAAATTCAAGTCTCAACTTGCAATATCGAAGGCTTCTATAGACTCCTGTGGAGTCCTAGTGTGGTGCTGTGGGTTAATGCACTGGACTGCAAGGTCAGTTTGAGCTGCAAAGTTGGTGGTTCAAGCTCACTAGCCACTCCTTGGAAAGCCTGTACAGGGTCGCTAAGGGTCGGAACCAACTTGATGGCACTGAAC